CATTCTGTGTCTTTTCTATTTGACTAGTTTGTTCTAAGTCTTATCTAAAAAGTGTTCCAAGCTATCAGATATATATAAAAAGTTGGCGACTTTAGGGATCGTATGTCAGTCCAGCTTTTGGTCGGTTCGACTATCAAGATTTTTATCACTACGCTGACTCACAGTGTCTATTGCTATTGTGTCTATTGATACTTTTAGATATTTTATATATATTTGCATCATTACCATTACTTTCTTGAACAGTATTATATTCGTTGTCCCGTTAATTAACTTTCAAAAGATTAAATTTCGATTCAATATAATTTTAACTTTTTCGCCTCCTACAGAAGCTAGTTTTAACCCTTTTTTAATTCAGATCTTGGTCCTTGTCTATTTTGGCTATTTTTAGTCTTTTATAAGTAGGTTTTCGAGACAATAGGTAACTCATATATATGAGATGTATTCACTCTATCTCGTTTAACGTGTTGAGGTTATACGCTGCATTCATGGTTCAAGTCTCACTGCTGGTGCCGATGAGGCATATGTGAGGTCGGAACTGCAGTTTTCTCCAGCCTGGAGGATAATACCTTTATGGGAAAGCAAGGCTATATGAGATCCAATGTACATGTAAGGTCTGCGCATCAGAATGTGGGAAAATTCAACTACCAGTCTCATTATCACCTTAAACGAAATAGGTTGAATACATCTCACCCTTTACTATGCTTCCCCTACACAAAATGTACAGTTGTTGTGGGCAGGTATTCTTTCATTAGCCTGTTCGTTTTTTGCCATTAGTTTTTAGCATGCTTCGTCTTGACGGCGCCAATTTCCACGGATCTCTTCCTCTCTGGCAAGCCACCAGTTTGCCGGCAAGCCTAGGCCCCAACTCACGCATATCCGCCGATGGCTGTCAGACCAAGGGGCTCCATACTTCTGGAGCTATGGTCCTTACTTCTTCAGCATCACAACAACATTTTAAAGTATCACATTCACGGGCGCCGACTGCGCCATGGACCACAGACACGTCAGCGTCTACTCTGGCTTCTGATATTGCTACCAGTGGTCAGACAGACATTCTAATCGTCTCGTTTCTGCCCAGCCAGTTGGTTTACTCCCTCCGACCGGTCTGCTTGTCCAGTAATTTGTCGTTGTTGGCGCCTCTCGCATTTTATTGTCCGCTGTGCTTTTCGGTAGCGGGCTCACCTCCTAGCTTTTCCTGCTGCCGAGAGCACAAGGCCTCCAGAGGCATTGCGATTATGCCCTCAGCTCAGCTCAGTCATCAGATGATGCGGTTCCCGGAAGCAACCTTGCGGATAGAATGGCAAGACAAGGTAAAGGAAGAGAACAGCCGCAATAAGTTCTACTACGAAACAGCCATTTTAGTAAACTGGTTGTAATCTGATTTAAATTGGTAACTTACCATTTGTCTGTCACTTGCTGAAACCCTTTTTCGGCGATTGCAGTTTCG